CAACTTAACCTGCAACGCAAATAAATACATTCAATTTCATACACAAAATGAATATTGATGAAAACAGCTTAAATTATATATACAAAAATTATTTTTCAAGAGAGTAAACCTATTTCTTGACAGTTCATGTTTTCGCTTTATAATGCAGATTGATTAGCTAAAAGGTTTTCTTTGAGACGTTTCTTAAAATTAAGAATACTGTAGGATCTATATTCCGCCGTTATATCATTATATTTTTTACTAGCAACGTACGAGAATGATCTTTCGAATAATGTGGTACTATGCATGGGTACTACTAATGTAGTTATGTTTCTAGTGGAATAGTTATTAATATTGGAAAAAGAAGTTAATTTTGTGAAAAGGTATTCCGGTTTTCGTAATTTTAAAACTTTGTGAACTAATACCAGCAAGTGTAACGACCGGTAGTTAGACAGTGTTAGCCAACCTGACTCCTTCATTTTATGTGAAATATGTTCGAATTTTCGGATACCATAAGCAAACCGTAAACAGCTGTTTTGAATTTTTTGTAAACGCAAAGAGTCAGATTGTAGTAATGCTGGGCCGTACACAGTGTCGCAGTAAAAAAGTTTTGAAAAAATTAATGATTCACAAAGTTTTATTTTTATTTTCGTGGAGAGCAAATCTCGATTAGGATATATCAACCTCAACACATTGTAACAGTTTTGGGATAACATATTAACGTGCTTGCTAAATCGCAAATTAGAATCTAGCCACAAACCTAAATTCTTTCCTTCGTTGGTAAATAAAAGAGGAATATCGCCTATTTTAATTTCCAATTGTTGTAAAGCTCTTTCGCGTGCTTTTTTTGGACCAAATAAAATGGCAATAGATTTACTAGGATTCAATTTTAAATTGTGTGCCGCAGAAATGTTAAATAAACTTTTGAGGTCATTATTAAAATTAGATTGAAAAGAAACCAATGAGTCAATATTACAAGATAAATAGATCTGCGTGTCGTCCGCGTAATGGTGTACTGAGCAGTTTTTAACGAAACTATGAAAATCCGCTATGTATAGGGAGAAAAGAGTTGGTCCTAAAATGGTTCCTTGAGGTACCCCTTTTGTTACAGGTAAGGCATTTGATGTTTCATGATCTAATTTAACTTTGTGAGTTCTATTGTTAAGGTAGTTTGAAAGCAAGGCAACAGCTTCTAAGGAAAAACCGTAGTGGCTAAGTTTATTACATAATATTTTATGATCAATAGTATCAAATGCCTTACTGTAATCCAACATAACCAAACATGTAATTTTGCCCTGATCAGTTGCATGGAATAAGTCATCAGTAATGGATGCAAGGGCGGTGGTAGTGCTGTGTTGTCTCCTGAAACCCGACTGAGCGGAATTTATTATTTCTTTTTCATGGGCGTATTCAGTTATTTGATCTTTGAGTATTTTCTCGAAGCATTTGGAAAGGGTAGGTAAAATACTAATTGGTCGGAGATCAGAAAGGTTTGACGGTTCAGTACATTTGGCTAGTGGGAGTATTATAGCGTGTTTCCATGCATTAGGATATTTTGATGTTGAGATTATCTTATTAAAAATAAAGGTTAAATAATTTAGTAAATGATTTTCGACTAAATGTAGCATGCGCAAAGAAATGTCATCAAGACCGACAGCGTTACTTTTTATGTGATGAAGGGATTTTCTTACTGATTCAGCAGTAACATTTTTGAAATTAAATTATGAATTAAATTTTTGCTGTCTGTAGCAATCTAATAGACGTAATTGATTAGGAGTTTTATCAATATTAGGCAAACTATTAAAGTGTAAATTTATGTCATCGACTTGTTTTAAATTAGGAGGAATATCTGGATTCGATTTTTTTCTGAGAATTCCAAGGGATCGGAGGGTATTCCAAGTACTTTTTGAATTTTTATGTTTAAGTATGAAATCAAGGTAGGCTTTTTTTTCTCGCCGAATAGCTCCAGTTGTGTAATTTCTCAACTGGGTCTAATAGTTCCAGCTACTCACAGTTTTTTCTTTTTTATATCTGCTTAATGCAGAATCTCTTAGGCTGATCATTTTTTTAATATTGTATGTGAGCCACGGGGCATGAGGTTTACTTACTCCTTTAGTAACTCTTGGAGCGTGGTCGCAGAAAATTTCATTAAGGGAATGGTTTAAAAATGTAATCATTTCATCGACATTATCAAGAGAGAAAATACTATTCCAGTTAATATTCAGCAAATCAAAATTAAAGTGATCTAAGTCAAATTTTGAAAAATCACGATATGTTATATATTTCATTTTATTGTGAATTTTGTATGAGTCAATATTACAAGAAACTGCGTGATGGTACGAGATCCCACGGTTTCGTATATCAAGTACCTTGACCGATGAAATCTCTTGAGTATCAGACACAAAGATGATGTCAATGAGTGTTTTGCTATGTGGGGTAAAATGAGTTGGCTCATTAATTATTTGCTCCAGCCCGAAAGTGTTTAAAAAATTTATACATAATTCACAACTCCGATTTTGTGTAAGGAAATCTATGTTTATATCACCCGATACGAGCAAGAAATCACTCTCAGGAAGTAAATTTGCAACGGTGTCTTCCAATTCACTAATAAAATTACTAACTGATGAAGCGGGTGGGCGATAAACAACACCAAGAATGTAAGTTTTTCCACTACACTTGGTGGATATCCATATTTGCTCAAGATTAACTGTAATTTGAGAAAAAATTAGTTTATATTGAATGTTAGTATTTATGTAGAAAGCAACACCTCCACCCCTACCATCTCTATCTGCCCTAACCAGTCGATATGACTTGATAAATATATTACTAGAATCCATTTCGGGATTTAACCATGTTTCGCTTATGCCGAAAATGTCAATTTTACTTTTATTCAAGTACTCAACCAAGCGACCGTAAACGGGGAAGATAGATCCTACATTTAAATGCGAAAAGCTAATACTTCGTTTCATAATATAGGCAAAAAATATCTATAAAATTAAATACACAAAAAAAAACAGTAAAAGAAGAAAAAAAAACGTTAATTAGATAAACAATAGATTGTGAATCGAAACAATTTAAATGTACATAAATCCAAGAAAATATTATAAAAGGTATATATATGATTTTTTTTATGAAATATAATAATGATCTTTATACATACCAATTCATACGATCTGGACGAAACCTAAATGACGCTAAAGTAATAGATATTAAAACTTTTAAGTATTATTCTACAAATTGAGCTACGATGATATTACGTTGAATTATCTTGTCGTTCAAACACAAATAATTCAAGTAACCAGCTTCATTGCCGATAATACGACATCGAATTAAAATTACAAAGAAAAAATTTAAGGATATACCAGAACTGACTTCAGTATTATCTAAAGAAGTGAATGATTTTTATTCAAGCTTGCCGTATCAATCCGAAGATAAGAATCAAGGAAATAAGAAGACTAAGCAAAAAACAGAATTAGATGATTTGGAAAAGAAACAAGAAATAGTAAACATCTAAGAAACTAGACGTGCAAAGAAGAAACTTAAATCTGCAACCAGAATCGAAAAAACGTCAGTCAGGGAGAGAACGGACAATTCAAAAAGTGTACCTAAAGATATGCCTTGTTAAAAGAAAACAAAAAAAACAGTAAATAGAGTAAACCCCACCATTAAATTTCTTTTTGTTTTAATACAAGGAAAATATATGTTCTTTAGTTTTAAGACACACCTTAATTACAGTGTTTTCAAAGAAATGTTATGTTGTTTAAAATAAATATTTTTGATACTTTTATAAAAAAAAAACATTTAATTTCACATTTAACTGGTTATAATAAAATTTGTCGTAAGCCACACATACGAGCCTCTATTTTTATGCTAACCCTATAAATACGATATAAATAGGACATAACCCACCAAACAAGAATACGCAATAAGACGTATTACACAAAAATAATCAAATAGGACCGATAATTTAAAAATTCACTTCAAATACTTTGTCTGATTATATTTTAGTTGTAATTGACAAACATGTCTTAAATATTGTAACTGTGAAATATTTTGTGTTTCCTGTAAAATGAATTGCTAAGGACCTATTGCGCCGAAGCCATCGATAAGTGAATGTTTTACTTTTAAACAAAAATACAATATAAAAATTGAGTTACAGTTACAATTTTTTTCTACAATTTTAGCACGACCATAGCTACAAATTTGTGTATTTGTATCTATTTTTTTAAATTAAAAATTAAACTAGCTTAAACCATGTTATTTGTTATGCAATTTCAATCACACTAACGCCATAATTTTGTTTTTTTTTTGTGCAAATTATATGTGAAATAAACAATCAAAACAAAAATATATAAATTCACGAAAATCGCGAACATTGCAAGAAAATTATAGGTTTTGCTAAAATTGTTTCAATTTTAATATTTTTATGGGGTAATTTCATTAGATACTATTTCCGCCAAAAATTTTATTATTAATTTCCCAAACTTATTTAATGGATTTTACAATATTCAAATTGTTACTGTTTATACTTTTCTTATAAAATTCTCATGCATTGTTAGGTAAAACCTATAAATTAATATTTTCAATAAAATATTGTCTTCGCAAATGTTTTCTATGAAAATTAAATTACTTTCAATACTAGTGTTCTGTAGATTAGGTGTACTGAAAAGGAGTTAATTATAAAATAAAATATAATATTCGAGAAGAAACTTATAAATTAATCATGATGGGAATGAATTCTTTGTTTGTAATTGTAGACACCTAATAATTTGTTTGTCCCGAAATATCGGATGTTTCCATGAATGACTTAAATGTACCGTTGCGTTAAAAATTGTAACCTTGGCCTATTTTCACCCCTCAACCGGGCTAACAGGGCGTTTCTTACATCTACGCAAAATTTAGATAGGTAATCAGATTAATGTGCAATTTTTTTTCCCGGATACGAAAATTTAACAACATTAATGATCTAAAACACTGAAATTGCATAACGTACAGTAGGTACCTAATAAAAATAAACATACCTGCATTGACGACAAACAAAATCGCGATAGAACCGGTGATAAAAGAAGCCATTTCAAATAGGTATCTCTCGATTTCACTTTACTGTAAGAAGTTCAAAATATGAATGTTGAGCCGAATATTATTTTTCAGAAAGACCGTGTACCTTTCAACCGTAGCGTGTGCTTGTTTTATTTCAACTTCGTGTGTTTAATGATTTTAGTTTTAGAATGAACGGAGGAATGAAAGGAAGATGTTGAGGGGATTCGGCAGCGTTGCCAAATTCTCTCCAAGAAGTCTGGTATCTACAAATATCCATGCGTCAGTAGCGGCTCGTAACAGAGGCGGAATTTTTATTTTAAAATACTTTTTTATATTTATAACAGGTGACATATCACTTTAGTGTCACAGAATTACAGATTTGACATATGTCTTAAATAAAACCCCAGATAGGTATTCCTTGATTTATAAAAAAAAAAAATTGCTGATTATAGTCAAAATTCAAAAAAAGGCCTTTCCAAGTTGGAACTATTTTTTATTGCGGATGTTGAAAACTACCTATTACTTGATAGAAGCGTAGTAATTTCGATTCGCGGATGCTCTTTTGTGCGTTTGTCAAGAATTTGATTTTATTTTTCTCAATTTTGTTTGTGTTTTTATGTTTTACATTGGTTTTAAGTATTTTATGGATTATTTATTAAAGACTATTTATGTGGTTCGAAATATATAGTGCAGTTACAGAGCTGGGTAATTACATGTACTTTAAAAATAATTACAATTACAAAGTACTTTTTCAAAAAAAGGAATTAATTACAAGTACAAAGTACATGTTGGAAAAATAGGAATTATATTGATTTAATTACAATTACATGAAAAAAGGAATTATCAATTACTTTTATAATTACTTTGTCGATAAAACAACAAATTGTAATACAATTGAGGAAACATGAACCATCCGGACGGGTACAAATAAAAATTTTAAATAGGTAATTCAAAGTGTCGAACTAACAGCCGTTTGCAAAGACTTTCTTAAGGATTCCTTAAAGTTAAAGATATCTTAAGAGCGGGTTGTATAAATCTTACTTAAAGTTAAACTCGGTTTGAGGTGACAAATTTTGTATGGCATAAGTACAGTCTAAACACCATTTGGCACTTAGGGCTTGTTTCCCCAAACATTAGACTGCACATATAGAATCTTAAATTGACATGTATCACCTAAAACTGAGCTTTATTTTAAGTTAGCTATATACTTAACGGAAAAGACAAAATCGATAAGTAATTTCAAAATGGAACAGGTAAGTTAATAATAAAATGTGAACTTTTAACAGTTTATTGATTTGGAATAAAAATACAAAGGTTCGTATACCTACTCATAAGTACTTTTATATTTTATCTAATCATACCATAAAAATCGGGAACCATTAGTCTGGGTCCGTTTAATCAAAAAGATAAAATAGTTAACACTAAACATTTTATTTACATTCGGTGCGGTAATTAACTCTTGTCAAAAATTATGTGATACCTTTTTATTTTTATCGTTTAAGCTTGGGATGCTTTATAAAAGTTTAAAACTAATTTTTCAAATATCATACTCTTGAAACATATTTTTTAACAAGAGTAGACCACAGAATGTAAGAAAAATATTTGGTGTAAATTTTTTAATATTTTTTACTTTTCATCAAGCAGGCAAAAAGTAATGACACATTATTAATTTTCGTAACAAGTTTCTCAAAATTTCTGTCAGACAGCGCATGCTTTTTGGGAGCGTTGACAATTGTGGCAAAGGAGAATAATCTCTCAACATGCCCAGAAGAAGGAAGTGCCGTATTGTATTTAAACAACACTTTTCTCATCAAGGGGTAGCTATCTAGCATCCTAATATTTTTTCTTAAATCGTCGAGATATTGTAACACTTTTAACTATACCCCATTTTTTTGTACAACCGAAGGTGTTACGCCTTCATTGAAATCAAAAAAATCTTTATTTATAATATCTTTGGTTGTACTAATAAAATTGCTTTCAAATGAAGTGTCACACTTTTACCATGGGTAATAATTTTTATCCCGTCAGAGGGCACTAAAATTAAAAAGAACAGTCATATTGCTAAATTCCGCATAAAATTACCTAGAGGAATGATATGACAGTCGAGGATATTTTAGAAAGGTCCTCGTTGAAATAAAAATCGACCTGTTTTTGGGTTCCTTTAACTTCAACTTCAAGATATTCTGAGATACGGCCGGTCGCCACCCTTAATGAATCACTCTGTACATAATATAAAAATTATATTGAATAATCTTAAATGTATCGTTCTATATCTTGTTCGTACAAACAAAAATGAGACATATTTTACATAAATTTGGTTACAGATCTACATCAGCAAATAATTTCTTATAACATAAAATATATTTATATTCCATTACAAGTGCTATTAATTTAATTAAAATATAGCATTTTCTATGTTAAAATTAAATATGTGTAAGCAAAAGTAATGTTTATTAAAATACTTCATCCTTCATTTCAATGTAGAAAACTAGAATCATAACTAGAAATACCTACGCAACGTAAATAAGTAGTTTTTACCCCATAAAAACTGTTATTTGCATCACTTCATACTATATTTCCTTAGTTTATAATGTTTATGCAACATAAATTATGTTTATAATAATATAAATACAAAATACGTCTTAAAAATAAGGATATCTGCATCTACTTACCTCTTACTGTTATTATTTTCCTTAAATGCATTCAAACAAATGATATGAATGAGTCCGAGCTCTAGTGACCGGTTCGAATTGGAAATTTATTGTTTTTATATCACGTGAATCTCATAAACACGCATTTAAAAGTAATTGTAATTAAAAAAATGTAATTGTACTTATATATGTAATTGTAATTGGAACAGTAATTGTAATTGGAAAAATAATTGTACTTATGACAAGTAATTGTATTTAGACAATTTAAATAATATAAATTAATATAATTACAAAGTACAATTCCTCTACATATTTTGCTGCAATTACAATTCCAAATTACTTTGAGAAAAAAAGTACTTACATACAATTACAAATTACATAAAAAAAGTAATTGTAATTATTAATTACTTTTTAACTAGGAATTACCCAGTCCTGGCAGTTACTAAAGATATAGTTACCAATATTTGTAAGCATATTGCAGAAAAATATGTATTTTAAATCAACAAATATTCCTCAATTTTATGTTGTGTTATTGCAACAATCAACCCAGCTAGGACCGGACGTCGTTTCACGTCATAATCACGTTGAATTTTGGTCAAATACGTCGATGTGATTTTTTGACGCAAAAGTAACGTAATAATAACATATTTTCAGACCAATTTGACACGTGAACACAGTTGTTGCGAACAAAATAAACCTATTTATCTCATTTATGCTCTTTGAGTTTTTTTTATTCATTATTAAATGAATAAAAGGTAATTTATACAACATCGTTTATTTAGCGGTCATTATGACACCAAAATAAGACGTACTTTGACGTTTTATTTAGGGACCAGTTTGTCGTTTAGAAATGAGGCGTTAAACTGCGCACGTGTACACGTCGATTCTATATCTTTATTGTTTTACATTCTATTTATTCATAAAAGTATCTTTAGTGTTTATAATAATTTATGATTCTCATTTTAGATCTAGGGATTTTTGGGAATTTTCCTTTTTAAAAGAAATTTTATGTCAACACTGTTTGGAAATGTCAGCTGTCATGTCATTGTCCAATGTTAGCGGTTCACTCCATTTTCTGTTAATAGAGAGATATTAGAGAGTTATTGCAAGTTCACTTAAGGTCAGTCACTATTAGTGCCGCTCTTATTTTGACATCTGAGCATACGCAGATCACTTACATTCTAGAACTGACTAATAAAGATTGTACCTGTCCTTAATTGTGGATGTTTAAGGACAGCAATTAGTGGCGACTTTATACTTTTCGGGTGTGCTCGCCAACATTCGTATCAGTTCGAAGTTTTTTAATAATAAATATTTAATATTATTGTCTTGAAATAATACTTATGCGATACTAAATACATGACTATTTTTTGTTGCAGATTTGTGATGTCAATCTGAAAATATTAAACGTTAATGCCTGATTTCCAGGGCGAACACATGATGCCCATATTTGGAGACAGCTCACATAACATCAATGATATATGATATACTGAGCACGTGCTAGGACATTCTTAGAAGATAGTAAAAGTCATATACCCAGCATATACCTCATATTCTGAGCATAGGCGCCAAATCCTCGGGGCTCTGGGTGCGCAAGCACCCAGAGAAATTTGAAACTGGGTGCGGAGCACCCATAGCACAGCGTGGACAAAAAATGCCAATAAGTGAAATGAATAAGCTGTTGTGACCCAAGTTGGTATAGCGACAGGATGCCTCGATAAAATATCGTTCTGAGTTGTATTTTTTGTAAAAAAAGTCGCCGTCACTTGTCATAGATAACGCATTGAACCTGTACTTAAGAGTTTATTATTCTTGGTGTATAAAACCCTATGACATAAAAAAACGACTAATAACTTTCTACAAATATCAAGACAAGAGTTCTTACATATGATATTGAGCAAATGCTTGAGGGGAGAAGGGAGAACATTTGGAAGTTTCTTCCGATCAAGCACTGTTAGAAAAGAACGTTAATTTAGAGTCAGAAACAGTTTTCTAGTAGTACTGGTAATAAACCATGTCATTTACTAAAAACGCGCTGACCTGTTAGTTATTGATTTTAGGGGGAAACATTTTTATTTTGCCAGTTTCGCCCACTGATCGAAAATCCTTAATCGGGGACTCACCCCTAAAATTTTAACTGGAAAGAGAGGTCGAATGATAACTTATTTTAAAGGTATTTTTACATAGATTATAACCCCCGAGTTTTACATCGCATCTATCTATGTAGCCCATACAGTGGCTCACCAAAAGTACAAAAACGGTTTAAGATCAGTTTTACATTGTTATTAAAAAAAAAGGAATTCTTTGTAACAATTCTAGTTTTATTTCTGTGGCTTTCAATTATTGTTATCAGATGACATTCTTTTGTCGATGTAAAATAGTAAGATTTAGTTTATTTCGTTATAGAGTGAGCTGAGAGGGTGCAAATAATTTCACTTTTTTTGAGAACAATGAATGTGTTAATAGAAC